TAGTTGGAGAAATGATTGCTACAACAACTGTTATTTACATAATGCTTTAATGTAATAAAACATCCCTAAGTGCTCTTCAGGAGCATAAAACTAATTAAGAAACCAAACCACATAAGGAGATATTAGGTCTGATAACCAAATAAGGTATCACCACCAAATGTGGAGTGATTAAAATCAGGAATGCTCAAGGGGCCAGAATTAGATGAGCATAGATATCTCAGAGGCCATGAGACTATGAAAATTACAGAGTTATGGAAGGGCAAGGCTATGAAGATATGAAAACACGAATGAGAATTTTAAAATTAAGACTTTGCTTGAACATGGGAGTGATAGTTAAGGCGTGGGCAACAATGTACTTCTTAAACCATTCGAGACCTTTAAATCTAACAGAAAAATGTGTGTACATTTCAGATGCAGGAGCACCAAATGGCCTGTTCTTTGGAACTATCTGTCCTGAAAATGCTCATCAAAGTCCATCAGTTCAGACTCCAGAGAATGTTTATGTTCCACGGTGACCTTCTAGTTTTTATTTCAATGGGAGAAGTTGATTTAATCACAGCAGATATCAGGTCCACTATTGCAGCTTTCTATCTCTACCTGGTAACACAGCCATTCCCCCCGACTTTTGCATTATCCAATTGATCCCATTGCTCTGTTGCTTCCCTACACCCATACAAATTTTTCCTTTGTATATATTCCTTTTGAAAGTTACTATTGGTTCTGCTTCCACTATCCTTTCATTCCAAATTGTAACAACTTACAACATTTGTTTTTACTAATTTCCTTTTTCTGAGAATTACATTACATTTGAGCCCTTTAGTTACCTACCCATCTGCCAATGGAAACAATTTCTCTCCATTTACTCTGTTGGAAGTTCTCAACATTTTGAGCACTGCTATTAAATAATCCCTCAATCTTCCATATTCTAAGGAAAACAATTCCAACTCCATTAATCTATCAACACTATTGAAATCTTTCACCTTTATAACACCAGTGAAGACAAATTGAGGGAGTAGTCAGTAAAGCATATGCGATCATGGCATTCATAAGTAGAGGCATTAAGTACAAAAGCAGGAAACTTAAGATGAATACTTGTAAAACTTTGGTTAGACCACAACTGGAATATTTTATTCAATTCTAGTCACCACACTTTGGGAAGGATGTGAAGGACCATACAGAGGATACTTACTAAAATATATCCAGGGTTTATAGATTTCTGTTAGGATAAAGAAGCTGTGCTCTTTGTCTTGAAGCAAGGTGGTTGAGGTGTGCAAGCATGACAGTTTTGGCTTGGGTCGACAAAGAAAAGCTGTTCTCATTAATTGATGCTGCAAGGACTAGGGAGACAGATTTAGGGTATTGGGCAAGAGATGCTGGAGGTTGTGAAGAAAACCTTCCTTATCCAATGAGAGGTAATGACCTGAACTGACTCCCTAGAAGTTGGGGGATGCAGAGACATGAATAATTTATCAAGGAAACTGGATTGGGACTTGAGGGAAATGAATTTACAGGGCTCCAGGGATAGAGTGTGGAATGGAATTGACTGTGTTGTGCTAGAGAACTAGCATGGTCTTGAAGGGATGAAAGACTTCCTTTTGTGCCACAATGACTCTGTAACATCCTGGTACATTTTTTTCACAATCACTCCACGATCTTGATATTCTTACTTAGATGTGGCACGCTGAGTTGAATGCAATACTCTAGCTGAGATTTAAGCAATGATTTATGAACGCTTACTGGTAGAAATGTAAATTGCTGCGCCACTGAGGAAAATATTGTTTCTAGTCTTACTCTTATTTTGTGAGATGCTAATAAAAAGTTCATGAAGTTGTGCAGTGAGTTTTATCAGCATGTTCACTGGAGAGTTCTGCAATCACCTGCAGGGCTTCCAGAAGAAGACCCTCATCCATCCTTCCCAAGAGGCGACTCAGAACAGACAAATAAACATTAACAACACTTGCATTCTGAAACTTTGTAACTTTCTAAAGTAAACGTGGCATGAGCCATAAAAGAATTGATTGGAGAGGTTGTCAGTGCCTTTCACAAACTCTGGACGTCCCAATTTGAAATGCTATCAATAACCTAACAGTTGCAACAGCCCCATTTATATTTATAGCACAGTCATGCAAACTAGAATGTAACAATGCCAGATCATTTGCCTTTTGCTCATTTGGATTGAGAGATAAGTATTGACGCAGGAGGTTGAGGAGAATTCTTTTGCTGCCTTCCTCTGACTAGTGGAACAGTTGTGGGGCTGCGGGGGTTGGGATGCGGCCCCTGTTCAGTAGGGACCACCTGCTGAATAGTTGCATGCATGCTTACCATGTGCTGAGGCAACCAGCCCTGGCTATGAATTCACCACAGTCAGCTGATCAGCGTGGCTTACTCTTCAATATTGGCTTCTTGGGGAAAGCAATGCAGAGATGTTGGTTCTTTATACCAGGAAGACTTATTGTATTCAGGAGAATATAATAACTGTTAAGAAATGAGAACCTATCTAAGCTGTGTAGAAGGGCCGGCAATTCCAGTTGAACAGCAAGTTATAGTCACATAGCACCTTTAACGTAGTAATGCCTAATGGTGCTTCACAGGATTGTTATGGAAACAAAAATGATATTGCGATTGGCAAGAGATGCTAGATAATCAAAAGTTTGGTCAAGGAGAATGGTGTAAATATGCAACTTGGGGGACAGTGAGAAACAGACGGAAAGGTTTGCGAGGGAGCTAATGACCTAGCAGTTGAAGGCAAATTGGTGATAGAAATTTGGAATGCATTAAGAGGCCAGGATTAGAGAAGCACAGAGATCTTAGAGGGGTGTAGGACTAGAGGAGGTTTCAGTGATACGAAGAAGTGAGGACATGAAGGGATTTAAAAACAAGGATGAGAATTATCAAGTTGTTGTATTGCCTGACTGGGAGCCAATGTAGGTCAGCGAGTACAGGGGTGATGGCGAATTGGTGCAAATTAAGACAAAAGGAAGTGGAGATTTGCAGCAATTTCTGTGAAAGGTTGCATAATGAATAATAAATTATGGAGCACTGTATAACCAAATCAATATTCATTAAGGAAATGCATATACTCATTCTTTATAACAGTTTGCATTGGGTAATGTGAAGAAATGACAGTCAATGATGTACAAATCGACATGAATCGAACATGTTAATTTACAGTTGCCTGAACCAATAGCAGTCAGGATTTAGCTTTAAAATCCTGATATACTCTATTACAATACTTATGTCAACATCCAGAAGTGCTCTAACACACAAATTATTATATTGTTACCCTTATTATTGTCATAATTTGATAGGACTTGAACACAGATGATGCCTGATTGATTGTTACTGATCTGACATCAATAAGGGAAAACAGGTGAACATATGGCCAGAGCTGATAAAGCTTTGACAGAGTTCCAGAATGAGACAGCTCGAAGGAGGAGAATTGTCTCTTCCTCTCTGTTTAGAGTCACAGAGATGGAAAGCATGGAAACATACCCTTCGGTCCAACTTGTCCATGCTAACCTGATATCCTAGATAAATCTAGTTCCATTTGCCAGCATTTGTCCATATCCCTCTAAATCCTTCCTATTCATAGACCCATCCAGATGCCTTTTAAATGTTGTAACTGTACCAGCCTCGACCAGTTCCTCTGGCAGCTTATTCCATACAGGGTCCACCCTCTATGTGAAAAAGTTGCCTCTCAGTACCCTTTTAAATCTTTCCCCTCTCACCTTAAAGCTATGCGCTCTAGTTTTCGACTCCCCCACCCTGGGGAAAACACCTTGTCTATTGACTCTATCCATGCCCCTCATAATTTTATAAAGCTGTATAAGGTCACCCCTCAGCCTCCGACACTCCAGGGAAAATAGCCCAGTCTACTCAGCCTCTCCCTACAGCTCAAACTATCCAAAGCTGACAACATCTTTGTAAATCTTTCTGAACCCTTTCAAGTTTCACAACATCCTCCCTATAGCAGGGAGACCAGAATTGCACACAGTATTCCAAAAGTTGCCTAACCCATGTCCAGTGCAGTCACTACATGACCTCCCAACTCCTATACTCGATGCACTGACCAATAAAAGCAAGCATACCAAACGCCTTCTTCACTATCCTATCCACCTGCAACTCCACTTTTCAAGGAACAATGAACCTGCAGTCCAAGGTCTCTTTGTTCAGCAACACTCCCCAGGACCCTACCATTCAGTGTATAAGTCCAGCCCTGATTTGCCTTTCTAAAATGCAGCACCTCACATTTATCTTAATTAAACTCCATCTGCCACTCCTCAGCCCATTGGCCCATCTGATCAACATCCTGTGGTACTCTGAGGTAACCTTCTTCACTGTCCACTACACCTCCAATTGTGGTGTCATCTGCAAACTTACTAACCATACCTCCTATGTTCACATCCAAATCATTTATATAAATGATGAAAAGCAGTGGAGCCAGCACTGATCCTTGTGGCACAGCACTGGTCATTGGCCTCCAGTCTGAAAAGAAACTCTCCACCACCACCCTCTGTCCACTACCTTCAAGTTAGTTCTGTACCCAAATGGCTAGTTCTCCCTGTATTCCATGTGATCTAACCTTGCTATTTAAGATACTACAGCATGTCATGTGAATTGGAGATATTTGCATAGTGCTCTCAGCCACCAGTCCTTGTTAGAAAACATATTCAGGGTACACAGTCTCAGCAACCTCGCCTTAAGATTTGTATATAATGAAATTGCAGTATCTGTTCACATCTCTCCTTTGAGACATCAATGTTATTTATTTGCTGGACAAGTCAGTCCAAAAAGCTACTACCTCCCATTCTCCACACTCTGGCACTTCTTACTAGAGATAATGATCTCAGACAGGGAATAATTTTCAATGAGAGATCCATAATCTTAGAATCGCATCCTCCGAGGTGCACTCACTTCCAATTTATCTCATTACAGCCCGGCTGACAAAGACAGATTACATTCAACTGCATTTCTCCATCCTGAGACACTGGGAGCAAGGTCTAATTAGTTCGGGGGCGGGGAGGGGCATGTGCGGAATATGCAAGGACAAAGAAGCATGTTAGAGCAAGGGAGCAGTTATTCAAATAGAGATTTTCCTCACCTACGCTGGAGATCTGCTGGCTCACTAGATCTTCCAGCAAAGCTTCAATGGCTGGATTGCGGCGAGAATATAACTCATAGCGGTTTATCCCGATGTGAAATTTTAACCAGTTGGGGTACGAGTCTATGGGGGGATCGCCAGTCGCTGCAAGGTCTTCCTCATCTTCATTCACCCTGAAAGAGAATGCATGGGGGAGGAGAGTCAAACCTACTGGCGACATTGTCACCGTACCACTTGGGGAGGGGGTTTTGTTTGTGATATAAACAGCCAAAATGAGAGAAAAGGAAGGGAGGAGAAGGGGTGGGGAATGGTGGACAACAACAGTGTGAGCGAAAGATAGGCGAGAAATGAAAGGAGAAGCAAGAGAGGGAAATAGAGATGGGGGAGTGGGGGGAGAGGCGCGTCCAAATTCGCTTCCACTTAGCCCTCACAGAAAATCCCACCGAAACGAAGCTTCAAAATAAGCTGACACACAGACTGGGTAACTGCAAAACCAGGAAACCCTGTTTCTGTGAATAGCGATCTGACCCCCAATGTGTAAAATTGGGGCAATGGTTTTAACATGTCCTTGGCTTTGGGGACAGAATGCTTCTTACATATACATCCGACAGCGACAGAAACCCAATTCCCCTTTCCACAAGAGCCTGGCCATACCGCAGAGTCCCTGCCCGGTATCTAATACCGTCCCAGGTGTTGGCGATGCCACATTATAAATAACGCCCCCAGTAACCTGTTCAAGGAAAGCTATGACTTCAGATAAGGCGATTGGAAAGAGCGGGCTGGGAGAAACAGGTACAAAGTTCATGGGAAGAGCGAGCAGGGCGAGTGACCTCACACATGAAGAATATTGCAATGGGATGACTGAGACAAAGAAAGCAGAGCGGTGTGAAAGGAGAGCAGGTAGAGAGTGAGATCCAGAGGGAGAGGATGGAGAGAGCAGGGACAGAGAAAGACACGGATATTGCTAGAGAACTGCAGAGGATGGTCAATGTAGCTGACAGAGCTCCTGGTCACAGCCATAATATCCCGGTACCAGTGTTCAGTGAAACCCCATTGAACACTGTGTCACTCACACAGAGGGTGACCTGGCGGAGATTGGTTCTGCAGAAGACGAAGGCTTTTTTTAACGTTAAAGGGGGAAAAGATGGATAGGGAATGTGTTGATTCTGTGCTATTTACTCGTCCAGAACAATAGTTCCTCTGCAGAGATTTAGGAATGTACGGGATACCAATCTCAACGACAGAACTCCATCCAGGCGAAAGGATGAGTTACAAAAGCACAGCTTGCATCAGGGAAAAGCTTCTTTATGAGGGTGAGAATTCCTTCGCAGCTTTGCTTTTATCTCGATCTCTCTTTCTTCCCTCTCTCTCACATTTTCTCTCCGGCTCTCCGCTCAATTTCCCCCGCATCTTTCTATCACTGTATATTCCCCAACTCTGTGTGTTTCTGCTTGTCTCTGTCCTTCTGTGTGTCTGTCTATCTGTCTCCCTCTGAGTGTCTCTTTTAGTGTGTTTTTGTCTTCCCTTCATCACTCACTTTGTCTGCTTCTCTCTTTGGAGCCTGTCTTCCTCTGGCTACCTTTCTCTCTCTTTGTTTGCCTTACTTGCTATCGCTCTCCGCCTTTCCCTCTGTCTCGCTTTCTGTCTTTTGCTGTCCCCATCTCTCTCTCTGCCTTTCGCTCTCCCTTTCTTTGTTTGCCTGTCTCTGTCTCTATCTTGCCCACTACCTCTGTGACGCTATCTCTGTCTCTCTCTCTAAATCGCTGTCTGTTCACCTCTCTCTGTTTCTCTCTGTCTCTATCCCTGTCTCTCTATCTGTCTCTATCCCTATCTCTTTCTGTCTCTATCACTATCTCTCTCTTTGCCTACCGCTCGCTGTCACTCTCTCTGCCTCTCTCTGTATCTTTCTCTGTCCCTCTCTCTCTCCATCGCTCACTGTTGACAATTTTCCTGGCTCTGAGTCTGACTGCTTTTCATTAACTGTCACTTATTCCCTTGCCTCTCTCTCTCTGTCTCTCCCTGTGCACTAATGTCCTTGTGTGGCTCTCGGTGTCTGTAGCTAAATCTTCAGAAATTCGCACAGCTCCTCGATCTGCTCCGGCGGCTGTGGGATTCCCGGTGACCGGGGGGAAATCACGGAGAGTTCGGAGCTCTCGACAGCACCAAACCGGTAGGGGCTGTGTCTACAAAGCCTGAGGGGGAGGGGGAACGGGCTGGCTCAGTGAGGCTGGACTGAGCGCTGTGTCCTCGGCCTCTCGCATGAGTGAGCGCAGGGTCAAAACTGGCTGCAGGGTAAACGGAACGAATTAAACTCACTTACCAGTCACGGGGAAGTTTAGGGTTAAACTTTATGTCCGTATTAATGTTGAACAAGATTTCTCCTTGTGTAAGTGCTGGGATCGGGCTCTGGTAATTAGGATGTTTGAAGAGTGCAGTCAGTTTGGAGTACTGGCCGGGAGCTCGGATTACAGCGTCCAGGACCCGATCTGGGATCAGCCTCTTGTTGTGTTCCTCACCCACTCTCAGTCCGGTTTCCTCAGCCTTAGCCAGGGGCTGCGAGCCGCTCCGGTTGGAGCCGGCTGCCTGGTCGCTGCTGAAATCCTGCAAGATCCGGAGGGTGTGTTTGTTGGGCCAGACAACAGCATCTCCTCCGGCACCCCCTCCTGGAGGAGCGGCCCCAGCTAGTGGCTTGCCCCAGGCCGGGAGCCCCGGCTGCAGCTCGGGGCCAACAAGCAGCGAGTCCCGGTGCTGACAGGGGCAGCCCGGTCCAGCCCCTCCTCCGGAAAGCCCCGGCTCCGGTCTCCTCTCCAGCCTGGGCAGCAGGTCAATGAGAATGTGCATGGTGCAGGCGATCAGAAAGACCATGACGATAAGCACCCGGAATCTGCGGAGCAGCATCATTGCTGGGATCGAGCTGACGGGAGGTGGAGGGGGGGGGGGGGGGGGGGGGGGTGGGGAGTGCTCAGAAAAAAGTCAGGCTCCCGAACCGAACCGTACAGAGATTAAAACGATTTCAATTCAGCTGCAAAGCGGCCCGTTTCATTTGGAAGAATCTGCATTGAGCCCGTCTCCATCGTTAGTCCTGGCGCTTCCCAGTTGCGGAAAATAAATGTATCTATTTGGCGCAGTGTGTGTTTGTTTTCCTTTTTGTCCTTAACCTTTCATTGACTCAGAAAACCAGACACAACAGACACCCCGAAGAAAAATAAAACATGTTTTGTTTTAAAATGTAATGTCGGTGGCAATGGTCGAATGTCCAAATGAAACACATAAGACAGACGAAATCTTCCGCCCGTCTCTCCTCCCCCTCAAGGAGCAGTGTTGAAACTCCCCACTGCCCAGTTACAAACCCTCCTCCAACCGGACGAGGCAGCTCCGCTCTCTTCTCTCAGGCTCCTGCGTTGCATGTGTCAGCCCAGGGAGACAGGTGTGGGGCTGTGAGATTGTTACAGGATCAGAGTGAATGAAGCCTTGCAGCAAACATCTCTCTTCCTCTCCGTCTTTCCCTCTATGTGTGTGTGTGTGTCTCCAGTAGCTATGAGCCTGCCAGATGTGCAAATGTTTTATTTAGCCGTCCCCCAGTGAAGGGAAGGAAAACGTCACGTTTGGGCGGAGGGCTGGACTCCCGGGTGTCGGGAAGCTGATGCCAGCTTCAAATCCCCTCCTCCCCAGCCCCAGACCTCAGGCAACACGCATCCACCGCGGCTTCCAATCAGAGTGAAGGGCCGGCTTTACATGACACACGCCCCCTTCCACACCCACCCCACATGCACACCTCCCCCTTCCCCCTTCCCAAAGAAACAGAATTGCAGAGAAAATACAATTTATGTAAAGAGATACAGTGATACAAGGGGATAAACGGAAGTAGGTACATAGAGGGAGAGGCAGAGACACTGGGAAAGCAACGCACAAGCTGAACGAGATGGGGGTGGCAGTGGGGAGACAGAGAGCGGCGGAGACAGAGAGGGTAGGCGAGGGGAGGGGGCTGAGAAAGAGGCAGAAAGAGGGACCAACAGAAAGACGGGAAACAGAAAAGAAGAAAGAGACAGAAAGATGAGCGAGACGGAAAGAGAAAGGGAGGCATACGGAGGGAAAGACAGACAAGAAAGAGAGAGAGAAGACAGGGATCCACAGTCAGAAACAGCGAGCCTTGCACAACTTCGCCTGTGGAATGTGTCTCCTTGTTCCTCACTGATTTCCAAACAGTCCCTATGCCCGAGCCAAGTCTCCGCGCTGGCCGGCCGCCTTCATTTTCCCTGTCAGAACAGATCGCGAGGAAATGACATTATTCTGTCACATATATTCAGATGAACCCTGGATCTTGTTAGCAAATGCAGCAACTGACACTAGGACTGTACAATCCATAGGGCGAAAAGTGAGCTGCTTTGAGGCTGCTACTGAGTAGTTGAAGAGCAGGTTGATTTTTATAATTGCAATAACATGGCCAATGTAAAATGGGATAAACCCCCGCCCCACATTGAATATTTCAAATACTCAGACAATTTAAAATCATAGAGATGCACAGCACGAAACAGACCCTTCGGCCCAACTCGTCCATGCCGACCAGATATCCTAAATTAATCTAGTCCCATTTGCCAGTTTGTGGCCCATATCCCTCTAAACCTAAGATAACAAGATGTAGAGCTGGATGAACACAGCAGGCCAAGCAGCATCAGAGGAGCAGGAAAGCTGACGTTTCAGGTCTGGACCCTTCTGCAGAAA